CTGAGTCACAAAGTTTGAACTCAACTGTAAGTGCCACAGCGCTTTAGGTTTAAGTTGTTTTTAGTTTGTCACCCACACAAACTGAAGCAAGGTTTAAATGAGAAATAGAAATAGAAGCAGTGTACCAAAATCTTCTGGAAGGAAACAAATTAACTAGCTCTAGAAGTAGTGCCTTAGGTAGCAGGATTCAAACCCTGGCTTGAAATATGTCCAAAAGTTTAAAAATCTGCACTTTCTTAAAAAATATATATATGTTTCTAAAAGAATTCTATCAGAATATAAATTGATAAAGGAGTCAAGTTTTATTACCAAAGCAGCTACAGCCATTGAGAATTTCATTAAGGAGAGGTTCATGTCAAAGTTGATGACATCACAGCACATTTACAGGGTATTCTTGACAAAGCTGTGCACTTTCCGCTTAGAGAAGACACCTGGAACTTTGACATGATACACACCGCTACACATGTCATGCCTTATTGTTAGTTCATGTCCAAAGTCATTATGGGCAAACAAGGAAGTCCTGTGTCAACCTGTCCCTGAAAGACACACTGAATATGTACCTATATGTAACAATATGTCAAAGTTTTAATATCACATAGGAAATGCCATTAGCAAACAATAATCCAACAATAACAATGACAAAACTCTTAGTAAAAGTCATTGCAATTAGAAGCCTGCCAGGTCAAAGCTGTCCCTGAAAATTGGACGTTTAGTCTGAAACTTGCAGATATCATTTTGTCAGGATTATCAGTCAAGCCCGTCGAAAAATTAGAATGAAAAGACTGTGCTGGGGATTTAGAAAGAGCAGCACCAGGGACAATTGCTACGTTGAAGATACACTGTGCTGACAATGGAGGGTCTCCTAAAATTTAACTGCCAAGACCTTCAGGACCACTTCATAAAGTCCAGTTACGCTAGCCCTGTCCTGTGTGAGCAGCTAGAGGCTGGACTGGCCTCACTGACTGATGTTTTAGTTGTTCATTTACCTGGATGCTCACTTGTTTGTGTCTTCTAATAGCTGATTTCTGTATTTCATATATTCTTCCAGGTCTCCAATTACACTTCAAATGTGCTCACTCAGTGCCCTTGATTTTATGCCACCTTGCGGTGGGATCCGATCTCTGATGTATCTGATAAATTTGATCGGCTGTGCTATCTATATACACAAATGTGTATGACAGGGAAATAAACGCTTAATTAGCTTAAACAAAATTGCCTAATGTGATAAGAGAACAAGTGAGTTTTCAAATATAAAAGTTTTGTTATATTTTTGGAAAATAGATATAAACATAAAGATTATATCTCCCCACCCCCCAAGTACCTGAAAAATAAATGGTTTTTTAAAAAGAATCAATATGCAATAGTCTATTTCTGTTCATCATGTGGTGAAAGCTTTGTTAGAATACAGATCACTTAGCATCACATTAAAATACATTCCGTAGGCTTCTTTCCATCAACTACCCAAATTTTAGTTTAGAGATTTACTGGGGGGAAAAAATTAGGCAACTTGCCATTAACTATTAACTACATAATAATTTCTGATACATAATGTTCTAATGGCAGCTTGCAGGGTTGATATTTTTCTTTTAATTTTTTTTCTATTTTGTCATCTCTTCAGAAACCATAAGGAAAAAAAATCTCCTCTAGAATCAAAGAGTGTACCTTTTTAAATGTTCAGGGTTTCTGGTATTACTAAAACACTCAAATCTATAGTTTGCAAGCAATTTAACTTGAAAATACTTTTAGACTGTTGTATATTAAGACCGCATGTTTAAAAGAAATTAAGTGAGAAACATTAAGTGCTTAAAATATTGTTTAGTTATAAACCAGTGCACATTATTACAGCCTTAGCTCTTTCTTACTGTTGTCATTCCACTGCTAATATATATATACATATATATGTGTGTGTGTGTATATATATATATATATATATATATATATATATATATCCCTCATTACGATGTATTCTCATTTACTTATCAACATATTTATTGTGATACAAAATTCTGCTTTCATCTAGTTGACTTAATCTAAGTTTATTATTTAAACTTTAACATCACCAATGGGCAACTAAAATACTATCGGCTAATTTTCCTCCTACTGCCTTTAGTCATATGCCGATTGGTTTCTTTTGCATAACGACTTTTCTGAACTGTTCGACTTGTGTTTTTAATGAAACAAATTCTCCTCTTCTAAGTAGAGAAGTCTGCTATACACGTAAGTCACCTGGGAGCCTGGCCAAAGTCTGAAACAGCACAGCTGAAGGGTACAGCCATTTCACAGGGTCCTCGCGGCGAGGATTTGGTTTGCTTTTCTAACTTGCTAAAAATAGTTGATTACACAGGCTACCTCCATCTCACGGCTCAAGAACTCACAAAAGGCTGGACTGTGGATCGCAGCAACACACAGAACACATTTTATTAAAGAAGTCAGGATATTGCAAGTTTTCTCAATTCCTTCCGTTTACTCTCCGAGACAATACAAATAACCTAGCAGTTACTGGCATGGAAATCTCATAATGCTCCCAAATTTCAGAACTTCAGGCATGAGTCACAGGCTTACTTTAACTGTTTTTAAATATGTTTTTGATCTATTTTAGCCACAAAATTGAACACAGGAAGACTACTATATAAAAGGTCAGATTCCAAACACTGTGTTAAGAATCACATGTGTTAAAAGTATATATAAAAAACAACTAATTTTTGAAACATGAGTACTTAATTACCTTTTCAAAGATTCTAAAATTAATTCTAAATACAGTTATTTCACTCACATTCAAGGAACTATTGCTTTGGGAATGAAGCTTCATCATAAATACATTTGTGTCTTCTTCCTCAGATTCAAATCAATATATATATATACATATATATTTTTTTTTTTAAATCGGGTTTTAGACTAGGACGTAAATTTCAGTTTCTCTTAGAAAGACAAAGAAGAAAGACGAAGTCTGCATTGATTAGCGGCTAAAAATGGGTTCATTTCATCAGTAAATTTTATATCTTCCAATTATTTGTTGTTTAAAAAAAAGTAAGTCCTTGATGTGGCGGTTGAATCCTGTTAACCACACAGCACGTCTCTAAGCAAAGCTGCTACTCTACTCAAAGGGGGACTGTTCTGCGGCCACAAGTGAGCAGCGACTAAGAAAAATATTTTGAAATGGAAAAATAGCAACTGAATTTTAATGTTCCACAATGTTCCCAAATGCTGTGGAGGCAAGTCTTCTGTGAAACCACTCAATGTCACAGCCAAGTTAAATGTCCTTCATTTTGCAGCTACCAGTGCATCATCAACTGTCTGTAGGATTAAAAATTGGATTTACTAGTAATTGGGTCAAAAGAGGGTTACTTATGGACACAGCTGTTTACCGACAAGTGTAATTAGCCCTTTGCCCCTCATTTTATGGATCCCCGTTTCTAATTACACCTACATTCAGTCGGCATGAATGTAGGAATACATGTTCACAAAGCTACAACCACTGTGCCCTTCAATGATGTCTTTAGAGTAAAGGGGGGAAAAGGACCCCATGATAACTTATAACTTTTGCTTACTGATCTTTAGGGTTAGGACATTAAGAATAATCTAACATTGTAAGTTATCTGTGTTACTGTAAATACCTTTTCTTTTTTTATCCTACTCTGAAGATAATATCCTTGAGTCTTTGGAGAAAAAACTTTAGCGAAGGGAGCAGCCCAATCTGGACCCCCAAAAAAGCAATTCACTGAACTAGTTAACTCTTAAGTGCACTTATAACATCTGAGTGAATTGTATGTTGGCTTATGAGCTAACTATTTCAGTTAATTCACCCCATGTTATTAAGGAAAGCATATGATAGCACTATTTTTTTTTTTTTTGCAAAACAAAGGATAAAACTATGAGACTTTTAATATATGTATATATATATGTATGTGTGTGTGTGTGTATATATATACACACACACACACACACACACACACACATATATATATATACACAAACAACAGAGCCATCTCAAAGGCTCAAAGAGGGAATTATATTGGCACATTAGTATTCAAAGGCAATTGAATTAAACCAAACAGACAGAGCACCCAGGACTCTTCATACTCCTAGACTTGACCTTGCATGTCAAAATTAAAGACATGTATGCTGTCTTTTAAAAGAGCCACTCTCAAACCTGATACCTAAAATACAAGGACATTTTTGAATGTCTAGTTATACTAAAGTGAATCTTTTAGTATTATGGTACCCACGAAAACTAACTCTTAATATTTCTAGCTGAGATTGTTACAAATAAAAAAATAATTAGGACCTAACAGAAAATAAAGTTCCTTCAAATTAGAAATTTAGAAGCTAAAAAAAAATTCCAATTAATACTAGTACTTAAGAGTTTCTACTTATTTATTAAACTCACATTCAACAAACTTTATGGCTTAGATAGGGTGCTATAGGCAGCAGATCAAAACTTCTAATTATTTTTTCCACAAATTGCATTGCTTCTGGCCTTAAAACTATATGCTCATACAATGAAAAGGAAATCCATAATGTCAAAATATTACTATAAAACATCTTTCCAAGTTTAGCTGACCTAATATTTGCTATTCTTTTACAACATTACAGCACCTTTAGAAACAAGCAAAATCAAATCATCTTCATTCAGCTTCTGCCATGGCCTTGTATATAATCTATGCATATGCTAACACACACATGTATCTACATTTACTATTCCTATAGATGCTGACTTATTACGAAGCTAAAAAGCTGACACTTTCTGCTCTAGGAAAAAAAAAAAAAAAAAAAGCATAGCATTAAAGGACTGGTAAAGTTATTCATAACAAACAAGTTTGGCCAGGCTTGCTTCTATTGGTTCTCAATCAAGTCCCCCAACCCCAATATCATCAATAAGAACACCCATAGAACTAAACTATTAACAAGGCAATCCATCATCCCAAACTCAATGAACTCTATGTCCACATCCCCTCTATTCAATTATTGCATAGCCTTAAAATAATGTAACATTTACTCACTTTCAATGAATCAAAGCAGGCGATTACTCGTCCATTTTCAACTTGGCAGCTTTTCGAAGGATGTGCAAATTTACATTCCGTGTCTGGCCGCGAGCAAGTCCCCCTTTGGAACTCTCTACAGACTTCCAGTGTTAGCCATTTTGTGTCCCGAATCGGTGCGACACTCACAGCCATGTTTAGATTTTACAGGTAGTTAAATTTTTCAGTGAAACCAACAAACCCAACCCCCCCTCAAAAAAAAAAAAAAAAAAAAAAAACTACTACCAAAAAAAAAAAAATGCTGAATGCTGAACTGATAAAACTGTAAAATGATGATGAAAACGTCCCCTCCAAAATACGTTTCCCCCACTCCCTGCTTTAAAAGTACATGGAAAATTGTGTTGTCGATATCAAGGAAAAGATCTCCCACTAGAAATTCACAGCATGAAACTGTTAATTCAAAGAGGTTTTGGTGTTTGTTTTAGAGAAATCCTAGGATCTTAAGTAGATGAACGTTTAAAAGGAGGGCCTGGAATCAGCCTTGTGCTCTCAGTAACCCCTTCCCAGTGCCAATTTTGAGCCCAAAATGCAAGCATGAAACCGTGGCAGACCCCTGGACACCGATTTTCCAAGCTGCTCTCAGCAAAGTTGTCTGAAAGGGAATCTCCTCACAGCTGGATTTGCAATGGAGCTTGGTGGTGCAATCGGTATTGATTAGTTTGGCATAGACAGATGCAGCAGTTTAGAGCAAAATCGAGAAAATGATTTTGTTTTGTTTTGTTTTCCTCCTTGATTTCCTGGCAGAAGATATCTTACTTTTTTCAGCAAAACTTTTCGTTCAAAAAACTAAAGCAGCCTAGGGCAATGCCAGATACTTAGAGCTTTTCTCTTGATTCTAAGTAGAAATGGGGGTGTCTGGGCTAGAGGTGGAGGGTGGATGTGCTGTCGTCACAGTCTAGCTGGCAGCAAGCAAGGCAAAAGCAGAGACTGCTCTAGAAGCGGTTCCAAGCAGCAGAGACGTCAGGAAAGGCACTTCTTAGTACCAACCTGTAGAAAAAAGAGATAGGTTAAGATTTACTAAAGTAGCACTTCACCCATGTCCTACAGTACCACAACCTTGCCATGTGCTACCAGACTCAGTCATATTCGTGTCAGCCTGCTCTCTTGCTCTCTGTCTCTCTCTCTCTCTCACACGCACACACACTTGCTCACACACACGCACACACACAATACTTACAGTGAGGCATATTGCAGCCAGCCATCGTAGATTTATTAAAAAAAGGGGCCGTTTCCCCTGGTGAAGCAATGCATGATAGAGAGATAACCAATCACAGATAGTGTTGCAGCAATATTCTGGGCAGAAAGCCAATAGTGTGGGCTGTCTTATGAAAGGTCGCGCCTGTCAGACGTTCATTACTATGCTATAAGCACAGAAAATGTCCATCAGATGTGACTTATTCCACTGCAAGAGGACGAGCATGTGGGTTTTGAATTTACCCAACATGCAGTGAGTGGACTAAACCATGTTAGTTTCAAAACAGCTCCTAAGACAAGTCCGGGCACTTGAAGATCATGGCCAGAGGCGGGGGGAAAAGCAAGGTTTAAAAAAATTGCAGCTGACTTCCAAGCTGCTCTCCCTCTGGCTCTGGGCAGGGACGGGCACTGAGCAGCCTGCGCCTGCCGTCCTGACACGTGAATAAAAAAGGAAAGGGGTGTTTACGAATGGTACGCTCTCCTGACCTATCCAATTCACTTCCTTCTGAAGCCAGAGTCCTGCCCCTCCGCTGAAAGCAGCCCTCACACTGTAAAACTATGCCATTCAGCCGGCAGACACTTTGTCAATATATCACAGGCAGGCGAGATAGGAACAAAAGCATCCTTTATTCGTCCATTTTTTAAGCAGAAGCTGAGGTCATGTGGGGAAAAGAAGGAGTGCAGTGTTGTCAGTGTGTCTGGCAAATCTGAAGTCAACCTCAAGGGAGAAAGTGATTCCATTGCAGAAACATTAAATATTAAGTGAGCAATTCGATTTGGGCAGCTAGCATGATGCACTTCAGGGGTACGAGTGAAGCCGGAGGCTGGGGGGGGGGGGGCCTGGAGGGGATCCCCTATTGCCTAATTACCTAGGCACTACAAGACTGCTCCTTAGAGCAAGGCATTTTTGCTTTTAGCAACTTACTTTCTCTTTCATTCGGAAGGGCAGACTTTCAGAAAATGCTTAGTAGTGACAGAAGCAAAAGTATACATTTTTCCCTTATGAATGTTATCAACAAAGTAAACAAGGCTTTAATAACCTAAAAGTTTCACAATCCAAAGAGGCAAATGACACAGTCATGTTTGATTATAGTTCTTCAAGGGCCAAAAATGGTCATTTGGCATATGGTACATTTATAACCTAGACACCAGAAAATGCCTATAATATAGACTATATAACTGAACTGGAATATAGAATATGAATATATATTACATACATGTAAACATGAATATCTAGCACATATTTTTAAAAATTTATTTTAGGGTTAATACTGTCATTCTTAATATTATTTTTTTTAAAAAACCTACCAGATACTTGGCTTAGAAAATACTGAAGTTACACTACAACTTTTGAGAAAGATAAAAAAAGAACCAACTCATATCAATGCTCAAGAAATATTTTTGTTTTCAAAATATTTTCTGGTCCTAATTCCTATTTCTATCAGAACAAAGTCAGGTCAGTCACCAACTCTAACATCCATCCACCTTCCTGAATCTTTGCCCTGATTCAGAATTTCTCAGCTACTGCATGCCTTGAGCATGCACCACACCTGAGTCAACAATCTCTGTTGTCCTTCCCTCTAGAGTTTTGAAATGCCTCACCTGCAACATTCACTTCCTGTAAAAGCCAGCTAAGAGGCCCCCTCCTCCAAGAAGCTTCCAAGATGCCACCTCCTCCCTCTCCATTCACATATTAACCTACCTCCTCTGAACTACTACACGGCACCCTATACAGGGTTTTATTTCCTTATAGGTCTGAGCCACTGTCCCCAAGGGCAGAAATAATCTGTCCCTCGCATAGTGATGAAAAACAGATGGATCTCCATAAACGAGGGTAAATCAAGTGATTGATGACTATATCTGGACTGGAATTATCTCCAGGGCACAAAGATACACAAACACACGTATGAACACACCCTTATAAACATGTACATGAGCACAACACATGAATATAATCACATACCTGAACACACACATACGCACACATCCGTCACGGCCGCTATAAATTACTACAGCCCAGCGTCACGTCTAGGAATCTCCTTGGCCTGGACAGCTCCCTCGCACATTCCACACAGCAGCTTTTCCCAAACCTCATCACTCTCCAGGCCCTACTCCTCCGTGAGGGGATGATCTTCTATGTCTCAAATATTTCCTAGTCCAAATAGGGCCCTAGGGCATGAACTCTCTCTCACCTTCCTGCCGCCCATCTTTATACTTCCTGCATCTTCTCGATCTCCCAGGAGTTTTCCCTTCTCCTGCCCACAGCTGAGCTTCCCCCTTGACTCACCCCTTCTCAAGATTTCTTTCCCTTTATACCCCCTCAATATATGAACTTTCCCTCAATTCTGTCTTAGCCCTCCAAGGGGTGAAGGAACTCCAGCACGGAGGCGGTGGCCTGGCAGGAGCCAGGGACTCCCGGTGGCTACGTGTCCTCCTCTCCGGAAAGCTCTCAAGGCGTCATTCCCAGACTTATGTCTACAGTGTCATCTACACGCGCTGTATTTCTGCTCCTTCCTCTCCCATTCACTGTGGAATCTGTATCCATGTGACCTCCACACCTATTACTTCACGGTGCAGCAACAGCCGTCAATGCCCCATAAAAGCCAAATCCAAAGCCTTTACTTGACCTCTAATACCATTTACAACTCCTTCTTTCTATTTTTTTAATTTTTCAATTACAGTGTACAGTCCATATAGTTTTGTGTTAGTTTCAGGTGGATAGAATAGTGGTCCCCACCTGGCACTGTACATAATTTACAATATTATTGGGTAGAGGGGGTCAATGGGGAAAAGGGGAGACATCTGTGATACTCTCAACAATAAAGATAAATTTTAAAAATAAAATTATATATATACATATACATATATATGTGTGTGTGTATATATATATATATATATATATATATATATATACACATACATATAATAAACTCTATTCCCTATGCTGTGTTTTACATCCCCATGACCATTCTGTAACTACCAATTTATACTTCTTAATCCCTTCACCTTTTTCACCCAGTCCCCCAACCTTCCTCCTCTCTGGCAACCATCAGTCTGAGAACTTCCTCTGTCTTAAGCCTTTCTCCTTATCTTGAACTGGCACATTCTAGTCTTTTGGTTTCTCCCAGTGCTATACTCTAGCCTCCTGCCTTTCAGAGAGCAGTGGGGAGGAGCTGGGAGGGTTCCTGGCATATGCCATGCTACTGGGAGCTCCTGGGACTTGTTACAGGCTAACCCTTTGTTTGGTTTGACACATACTTCCTCACCCCTTCAACTGGGCAAATCCCTTCTCCTTGTCTAAGTTGCTATTCAAACATCAACTTGATAAGACTGGGCTAACTATGGTAAACATTATTCCATTTCAGAATATTCTCAGTACTTTGTATCTCTTGGTTCTTTTAACCCCTGGGTTACAGACTCCCTGACAACAGGGTTTATCACCATATTTTTATCTGGTACCTAGAACATAATAGATTTTTTTAAATGTTTGATAAATAAATTTTACTTAAACTGATGATAATAAACGTTGCTATGACTACATAAGGATGTATCCCCAACCCTGAGAAAATATTTCAGCATCATCTTCGGGGTCCATACTCTATGAGGAAGGAGGACGGTACCATTACTAATGTCTTCAATGCTTGGAAGTTCTGCCTAAATACAACTACCAAATCCATTTCTAGAAGTGATTATCTTCCCCTACTGCCATGTTATAAGCTTAATCCACTCAATTACTAAAATGCTGGCAACTGGGTGCTCTAATTATTTTTTAATTTCTGTAGCAGAGAAATTCTATTTACTTCAAAAGGCATTACTGGAAGAATTATAGACATATCTCTATAAGTTGAAAATACTATTTAATTGTAAAGTATATTGGGGAGGATGATAACCAAAATATTTATAATTAGCCAGGCATGGACACAGCAATCAAAATGGATACCAACCTTTATGCATTATTACCTAGCTGTAATGCATCTAGTAATATGTGTTTCCACCTCTGACATGGGGCGGGGGGGAAGGGGGAAGGGGGTAACAAATTTAGATTACACTTTATAAATTTATTTGACTAAATTGCTGATACCAGATTATCTTTCTCTTTGCTTAAATAAAATAATTTCATGGGGGACTGAAAATCTTCATAACTTAATATATTGGTAATTAAGATTTCATTGGATTTGGATTACTACTGAATTCCCAAAACATTTCTTCAACTAGTAATGAATTTTTGTCCTATACAACAATATTGAAACAGGTGTGGGTAATGTCCAGACTTTTATATAATTCTTGCAAACATATCTGCACTAGAAATATGTGTTGCTTATAAATATTAAAGGAAATATTGCTGCTGTAAATATGTTTACTGGATAAATTGTGTATGAGGTAAATTTCTGACCTATATTTCAACATCTATATAATAAAAGCCTAAGCAACCGATATAGTGGAACGACCAGAACGACCAGACACTCAACCCAGGAGCTGCCCCCTGGTGGTCAGTGTGCTCCCACAAGGGGAGTGCCGCTCAGCCAGAAGCCAAGCCCAAGGCTGGCAAGCGCAGCTCCCACCACCACGGCAGTGCTAAGGAGCAGCAAGCCAAGCAGTAAGGAGTAGCAAGCAGGCGGGCGGTAAGGAACAAGGGGTCCCGGACTGCGAGAGTGTGCAGGGAGGCTGAGGGACCCTCCCCCCAGCGCAGGAAGTTCATGTACCGGGCCTCTAGTATTATAATAAACTTCCCTCAACAACCACACAAAGATTAGGGAATTTAATAGTTTTGCAGTGAGAATCAAACTTTTTGA